GCATGCTTTGATTAAGGCCGATTCCCATTATAGCAGCATCGAGCAGCGCGGCGCGGTGAAAAGCGAGATAAGTAGATCCGTTTTCACCTAGGCAGAGCGGTGCAGAGCAGAGCGGCGCGGTGCAGCGCAACAAATTTTAAACGCGTCGGGAAGCATTGGAATACGCGGCGCTGCTTTGAAACGCGCCGCTCTGCGTGTAGACGGACAAGTGGGAATCGAGGAGCGAAGCAGATCAGCGTGGTGCTGCGGCTTGTGAAAAGCATTTATTTGTCTTCTGTGTTTAGCTTGCGTGTGTTAGTGGATTCGCTATGAACGGACAAAGAATAGAAAAATTAATTGTACTCGTCCGCTTTCTTTTTCTCCTTTTTTCGTCATGTACATGGCATAGTGCCGCTATAAATATTGTGAAATCATCTGGTGATGATGACGATGATGGCTCTTCTTCGAGCGTGTAAGAATACATTCTCCCTTAAACTGAACACAAACAGAAACGCTGCTTCGTCACGCTTCCAAATGGTGCTTAAGTGGGAATACCCCTCTACAATTTGCTGCTAGCGACGCGCCGCTCGGTGCTGCTCTAATGAGAATCGACCTTTAGGATTACCATAAAATACATTCAAATGGGTGTTGTAGGCAGGCATTTAAATTAGAAACACTTGTCCATTAATTTCGCTTGCAGCACCATATCCATTCCTTGCGTATTAATCCATCGGTTTTAGGGAAGTTATGGTCTTGGTCAATGACTTCCGGGTTAGTGATTTTTGTGCAAACACGGCTGTTGTTACAGTCTAATATTGCACATCGGCGTCTTGGCGTCCATGCAAATACGTTCACAACTTAGCAAATTATAACTGTCAATTCTGACAGCCAGGTCCGTTGGTGACGTCACATATGACTTAAACTTGGGCAACATTACAAGTATACTTTGTTTCACTGGTGCTGAACCTGACGTCATAAATGTGATTCTCTCTTCATTACATTTAAATCGATTGAGACAAAAAAATTACGTCATTAACGTAAGTCGTGACAAATAAACCAATTGATCTGTCATAATATCAATCCGTCAAACGATTTTCGTTATAGACAGATTTCCAGTGTTGATTAGGTAGTTTGTGTTAAAAGTGAAGTAAATATCATCAAAGTTAAAAACGCTTAGGCAAGTCGACAGTGCAGCAACGCCGTTAATAGACAAGTATTTTAAAAATTTTACCGCATAATGGTTCGATTCGCTCATATCATGAATTTAGGTCATTCCCGTTACCATTAGGTAAATATGACGAACCGATACACAGAATGAAGATGTTCGCCAGAACACTTAGGTATTGAATTGATTTTATAGGTGAGAATGTTACACTCCGTTCCTTACACAGTAATCTTCAACGACTTGATGGCGTAGAAATATCTGCTACCTCTTTGTCCCGCAGTTTGAAGAAACTGAAATTCACGTGGCGGAGATGCACCGTTTCCAATAGATTATTTTTAATGGAACAGCCCTATGCAGTTCAAAGAAGACTACAATTTTTGAGAGACTTTAAACACAACGAAATTTCACTCTTTCCATTACGACCTGTGGTTTTAGACGAAACCTGGATATACAGTAAAGGGTCTTTTAGAAGAAGCTGGCAAGATGGTACTCTCAAAACAGTTAGAAAAAGAAGTGGTGAAGGGGTCCGGTATATACCTAATACTCCATGCAGGATCAGAAGATGGATTTGTGGCGTAGTGTCGTTTTTTCTTTTGTACATACGATTTGAATATGAACATTTGAGAGTTTTTTCTTCACTAGGTACCTGTTTTCTCTCACAATTGCGTTTTTTTTAAATAAATCGGATCAGAAGATATTCAAGATCCTTATGCGAATATCTCGACTGTGTGGCAAAAGAACAGAAACTGTATGTATGCGTTGTTATTTCAATGAGCCAGTGGTATATAATGACTACGCTTTATCTCAAATTTGTAAGATGTATAAATGCGAAAGGCTTACCGATAAACCATGGCCTATTCTACTTCTGCAAATGGCTAGTTAAGGGTCATTAAAATTCGCGCAACTTAACGCGTATTCTTCACATTGGTAGCATACTTAATTTCACATCAACATTATGTAAACAAAATATTAATTTACGAACTGCCTAAACAAACTTTAAGTTACAAATGTTCCTATGCGTTTTCTGTAACCATCATACACTTCATCTCAAAGAGTTTCGGATGCTCTGGCAGTATCCATTTGGATGTGCAAAGAATCGGTTGCATGAGGTGATTACAAACGGTTGAAAAGGTTTAATTCATACCAACGGACTTCCTCTACATAAAATACATGACCATTTAGCCATTATAAAACCTAAGAACAGGAAAAAAACCTATCAGAACCAGATGCCTTACAAGTGATTGTCAACTTGGGCGGTCTAATAATGATGAACGATAGTGACACCTTAATAAATAAGTTGAAACGTCAATGTGACAATGTGTAAACCAACTACTAATTTACGACCTGCCTTAATTTTGCTATGACGTCAGATAGTGTGACGAAAGGTTCAGCACCCTTGAAACAAAGTATATAGGGATCGAGCAATCCTTATATTATATAGTATCCTTGGGTAACGTTATAAATATGGTTGTGAATTTACGCTGGCTGTTATGATTAGGTATTTATCGTATTACCGTTGTGAACATGGATAGTTCGATATGTCATAACTTTGTTTTATTTGTACAAAGATCATACTACACTAGATAGCCAGCGTATATGCAAGAGTTGTTTCGCGTTTAAGTAGTTCCATAAAAATATTTATAGGGGGCTTTCGAAGTTAAGAACGTAACGTAACTGATTCATCCGAAGCCGTCTTCGTACGAGTTCGAATCATATCATAAATACAAAGAGTGATTATTGTCTAAACACGAGACACATAAACATGACCTACTCAACACTCCTCACTATCATTGGGATAAAATTACATTTGTACGTGGGGCGTCATTCCAGACAAGGTAGATTCTATTACAGACAGGACGTTACAATGAAAGAAATAATTTAAAAGTTGTACCTACACAATATTCCCTTTGCTTTTTTTTAACCAGCGCTAACCAATACATTTTCCAGATTTTCGGATTTAATTAATAATTGCAAAAGCGTCTTTTTTCTTAGCATAATTTCTGAAAACGATACTTTAGCAAATCTTCAAATATAATATGCACCTACTTATCCAGGCATATTTACATTGTAACCACACATTTATCTAATTTAGATTTGTTTGTAATTAAGCATTTTATGATTGGGATAAACGAGATATCCCGCTTAGCCTCCTACATAATAAAATTGTGTCCAGCAAAAGTGAGTCGGAACTAGATGCGTCTGTGGTTAAAATTTCAAAGAAATATCTCCATAAATATGAAAGTTGGCATTGCGCCGTGTGCGCAAAATATGGAAAATACGAAACTGATCGAAATGGGCAAATATAGACCATAGCGGCTATCAATTAGCGAAAACCCGAAGTCTCTAAGTGGCCCAGGGACCGAGATCTCGATGGAACGGATGGACGGACGGACGGACAGACGGAAACACGAGCACATAAGCTTTACCTCAACTTCGTTGTGTTACAATAAAAAATTTAATTTAAAACAAGATGTGAATATTCGGAATTTTAATTTACAGTAAGGTAACCAGATAAAAACATCTATAACACCCACGCAAGGTTGCGCTTAAGAATGACACCGATATCCCATACAATAGCCCTTTATTCTAAAAATAACTGTGCTTTGCCATTTTGCGCGTCTTCTTACCCCGCCATGTAGTTTGTACTATTCTATTCTCATAAAAACACAGCCGCTGGAGGACGCAGTCGACTTATGTGGCGGGACGAATTATGAGAGTCTAAAATTTATACAGCGCTGTCTATCTATAGTAGTGTAGTATGATCTTTGATTTGTATACCTACGTTTTAAATAAGTATAAATAAGTTTGAATTCGTATAAATAAGCCGAGTATTATTATGATATTATTGATATTCACTGCATTTCCATATGGTTCAGAAAAGTGTTTGCATGAAGGATCACAATAATTTTCAACCTTTAACGTAAAGAACATTCTACCTATTTGCCGAAATCGATTGCCAATAAGAAATATTAAATACAACGTTACCACCTAATGCGTTACTTTCTTAATTTAAACATTCTACCTGCTTGGTACAGTTTTAAAACTATTTTTTCTCCAAGCATACACATGTACAAGATATCATTTCTTAACCAACTTCCATCAAAAGGTGTTATTGGTATGAAAAATTCAGCCCAGACAAGCAATTTTTTAATTGTCTAAAATTAGCCTTGTGTTCGTTATTTTCGTCTTGAAAAATCTACACATACCGGTTTCATCGAGATCAGGTTTAAATCCACGATTGCAACTTTGGGTTGGTCCCTGTGCGGTTGCAAAATGTGTAAAACCATTCTGATATGTTGTATAGTCGCGCCTTAAAGAAAGGGAAATAGAGAGGAAATTTGAATAATGACAGATAGACGAAAATAATTGAAATTAAAGGATTAAAGATGAGTTTAAAACTGCTGCTATTACAGTAGGTACTGACCTAAGCATACTTTCCTAACATTAATTATTTTCTATTACTGCGATCTGGGTCAGGTTTGGTATAAGCATTGGTCTATGGTATAAGCTTAAATCAAGCATTGCAACACTTTAATGGCATTATCCCGGAAACAGGTATAATAATGATAATGTAATAATGAAAGTGTACACGGTACATCGCATGTAATGGAAATAAAATTATTGTTTACATAAAATAATTGTTTTTATTCTATTGACAATGAATTAACTTAACCTTTCGACAGTTTGCCGTTTATGACAGTTTTATTAGCTTATCCTCAGTGTTCACCCTTTGCGATGTTTTGACAACGTAATTGCACTTCAATATTCATGAAGGTTGCTACAAACGGCTCCTCACACAAATTGTCGAAATTTCCAAAGGAGGTCGAGGACATTATTACGAAAAGATCTTTCAAAACGGAGTGCGAGTATTTTATTTCAATAAAATGCTAAATATCAACTAGAACCACCTGATTTGAGTGGCTTAAATATTAACTCATGTACAAAAAGTTTATAAATTAATTATATTCACAACAGTATAAAAAACGACTACATTGAGCAAGACACTTATTTCATAGAACAATTCAATTGTTCTTATCCTACTTATTAATGTAAACATTTATGGATTATGACTAGGTTATAAAATAGTCTTTACAATAAAATACGATTTTAAATAAATAAATTATTCCCGTTTGATTCTTCTTTGTTGGGACGCGAGGTACGTTTGGTAGTAGAAATTTGAAAATAGCAGAATGAACATGGTCGAGTGTAGCAGAAGTAAAACGCCAATTATTGTTGGGTACCCGCAATCGACCCAGAATAATTGCGCCGAATGCACAAATACCATCGTGAATTGTACCTAAAACGTTTAGCGTTAAGATCGTATGCTATTAGAGCATGATTATTACCAGTTGTAAGCTGGTGAGGTGCTTTTTCCACCACAGGTACTTCTGGTACTCGGGGCCCATTGCCGATACCATGTAATAAAAGTACATGACGACGTGTACCAAATTGTTGATTAAGTTAGAGAAGGTTCCGTGACCACCTGTAAAAAATCTAATATTGCAGAACAGTTTTACTATAACACAGTTTTTCAATTTGGAGACGGTTAATATAATGCAATTTTACTTTCTAACCAGTTCACAGTGTAGGTACAATATTAACCTAAATATTAAGTACGTGTGACGTTGAGCAATGATTTAAGGTAGGACTACTAGTAAACTATGTCTCTTTAACGGATGGCAGTTTGCGCGCTGAAGGAAATATCTTAGTCACTTTGTGCTAATGCTTTAATAATGGAAAACTCAAATAAGGAAAGATATATCGCTGAGTGGTTTACGACGCATTCTTGCCTATGACAAGGTAATTAATTCTCACCTGCTATAAATTTAACTAAAATCCAAGTTTCTAAAGGCGTCAAGCTGTGATGATATACATGTAAGAGTGTGACTTGGCTCTCCTTCTTTCGCATTACAAAGAAAATGGTATCCGCAAATTCTGTCAACTTCGAAATGTAGTACCACCAGCACAAATTGGCCATCTGCAACGGAATCTTTAGAGATCAACGATTACTGTCACTTTAACTTACTCTTATCGCCTTTTGCCCGTAGGAGTAATCGACAGGCTCGCATTTGTAACTGTAGTCGAAAAACCACCCGCTCATCAAATGCTGCAAAAAAACATGGTTAACCAACCACCTATCCTTGAACTCAAGCAACTAGCAAGGTCTATGTGCAATTCAATGAACGTCCTTGAGGTGAAAGCGTACCCGGAAGAAATGGTACCGGTTATACCATTAACGGCATGTGTTACAAACGCGATACCTATTATATGAACGTTGTGCAACTTTACGTTCCATGATCAAGGTTACAAATGAAAGATTGCAAATGAAAGATTGGTTCAGTAAACTTACCTCGTATAACATGAATATACTAAATAATACTTGAAATCCGTTGTAAACTATTAAAATTTCTCTTAATTTAAAAGGTTTCCGATCCCTCATGATTCTTGGCCCTAGTATTATGACTGCGTACAAGTATGTCACCACCATTAAAAGTGTTGGTACTGGACTGTGCATTAAGGGCCAATCTGTTGTGCGGGGGTCTGTAAGTAAAACAATACATAATTAATTGACAGAGAGAACAAAGTGGTAAATTAGCTAGCTAGTCCATTGAAATGTTACATTTTTTTGGGCTTAGTGTGCGTTTGTCAGAAGACGCAATTTTATTTTTTAGATATCAAGGAGGGGTTAGTCTATAGTTAAATCCAAGTTTGTGGGGTTGTAGCCCTTGTCCCGCGGCCGCCATCTTGACAAAATGGGTGCAAATGGTTTTTATGGTTTATCTGACAAACTATTGGTCTCACAAAAAATTTGTTCAGACATTTTTGAATAAAAATAATTCTCTACAACTTTGGTTCAGTAAATTTTAGTCGTATAACCAAAAGTACCAAAGTTATAAACGAAAATCTAGACGAAAATTGATGAACATTTTGTAAAAAATTTTCAATTGGTCGTTATAACTTTTTTTCTGGTCATTTTACAAAAAAATGACATCAGGCCATTTTTATAGAGGAGTTTTCAAGGAATAATTTTCATTACAAACTTTTTCGATTTTATTCATTCATTAAGATTTTATAGCGCTTCAGTGTTAAACTATACATAAATATTAATGATTTTAACGTACCTTTCTAATGTTCTAAATGACATAATTACTGTTTCCTTAGCCTTTTTGATGGACCAGGCTGCGTTGGAATTGAAGACGAGATAAATGTACCTACTCGTTGTCGCTGATTTAGCGAATCGTTTGTATCGCTGTTAAAAAAATCATCATCTTTATTGCCACCATATAAAAGGAAAAAATGTTCACCAATGACAGTGAGCAGAGCAAGATCGATTCTCTTACTGAGGAACAACGCTATTCCACTTGCTAACTCTGGATGTTTCTCCAGGGTTATGAGAAATTTTAGTTTGCCAATGTTGTAAGCTGCTGATGTGTTACGTCCTGAAAAAGCATGAAGAAACAGCAAATTATCCGCAATGACGTTTTTGTGCATAAAACCTGACGGAGAATACAATTGCTGTACGTCCTTTTCACGGTTTAAAAAACATATTTCTTTGTTCCAAAAGCCGTGAGCAACACAAGTATGTCGATATCTTCAGCTACAATAGTAACTGAGGCAAACGATTGGGATGCAGCAAAAGCAGAACGAACGATGAGGGTGTCTGCATCTGATTGTACTTGGTCGACAGTGAAACCCACCTCTGAGAATGAATTTTTGAGAAGTACAATGAAATTAGCCTTGTTCTTCTCATTGCCAAGAAATTTCTCATGTGATAACGTCGGTACGGTGTTCTTATCGAATTGTACTTCTGTTTCTGTCGACTGATGTTTCTTCGTGCGACGCAAACGCAACCAAGACATCGGGGTCTTCTGAGTAGCCGTCTCGTAAAGACAACACTAATACGTAGATGTTCTTTTATCCCCACACGGTTACTATCTTTTATCCCTGCACAGTATTATCGAAAATGAACACTCTGATTTCATGAATCTAGAGAATTTATTGTATTCGTTTCGTAGCGCTGTAAAAACTTAATTAATGAATAAAATTGAAAAAGTTTGTAATAAAAAATATTCCTTGAAAACCCCTCTAAAAAAATGATCTGAGGTTATTTTTTTGTAAAATGACCATAAAAAAAGTTATAACGCCCAATTGAATTTTTTTTACAAAAGTTCATCAATTTTCGTTTAACTTTGTTACTTTTGGTTATACGACTGGACCAAAGTTGTAGACAATTTTATTCTCATTCAAAAATGTCTGAACAAATTTTTTGTGAGACCTATAGTTTGTCAGATAAACCATAAAAACCATTTGCACCCCTTTTTTCAAGATGGCGGCCGCGGGACAAGGGCTGCAACCCCACAAACTTGGATTTAACTTTAGACTAACCCCCCGTTGATATCTAAAAAATAAAATTGCGTCCTCTGACAAACGCAACCCCAAATGTAACTTTTCAATGGACTAAGCAGTGTAGCAAGATTATTGTTGTAGTATGGTAATTATGAACGCAAAGATTTAATTTATTCAAACTGCTTCACATTTGGTAACTGTCCTCTCGGCAAGGTTGTTATGTTGTTGCTAAAATATCAAAAGCGAAAACATATAATGCGCCGCATTGGTACTTATGACCCAAATTTTTATACACAGAATAATTTCGTTTAACCCCTCTCACTTTGTTCAAACTACCAGCACATGCAAAATTATGAAATAATAGGATCCATATGATCCATTCCATCGAATTATTATACACTAACCTCCGTAATTAGTTTTTCGAGTAAAAAAAGAGAAAATAAAAATTATGTATTTTTCTGTTATGCAATGATTGTTTATTTAAAAATTATTGTTGAATATACTTACCACTAATTCTATCGACTATTCCTACGTAGCTATCTAACGCTAGGCGTACCAAACTGGCCATTTCCTGAAACAGCAAAGAAAAATTTTGTTAACATTGATGCTTGGATGGACCAGTTTCAGCAACATGAGTCTTTCAAGTGTTGCATTTAGACAAATTGTGTTCCAATAACATCAGCAACGGATATAATAGTTGCATACTGCACTAGTTACGTTCCACTTTTACCTACTCTGTGTTTATTAGGACAGCTCTAAGAAAGGTAACCGTTACAAAAAATTAAGAAATTGAAGATGGGCTTCAAAATCTATTTTCATGGACGTACCGCGATCTTAATTACATCGGAAATGTTTAGGTAATCTGCAACTGCACCTTTGCGGAACAATGATAGTTATGGCAATGTTTCCTAGAATAACAGATCTAATTGTAAAAACCGTTGTTATCAGAGTAGTGTTTTAATAACCGTATACAGAATATATGTAAGTAAAATTTCTGCTTTTTCTTTCATTTATTCAATCTCCACTAAAACCAATAGGCCCACGCGCTTTCTGTCGCAATAAGGGCAGCTAAATTAGCAGCGTTTCATAATGGGTCCATCTTTGTTAGTTGACCTCATACAATCTTTTGGTTTTGAAAGTGTGGAACTTGACTTGAAGAATGCATTCGATTCTGTAGACCACAAGCTGCTTGGTAATAAATTAAGTCGCTAAAATGTAACCAGTACTCGCAGTAGAGAAAATGTAAAAATGTTGCAATGTAGAGGTTCAAGCCTTTGATGCGAATTTTGCACAGGAGCACAGGGTTCCCACAATATGCAGATCTAGATGGGTTTGAGCGGAGGTTATATAAAAAAATTGTCCTCTAACATCCCTAACTTCACGGCAAGCTTAACGAATGTCACACATTTGATTGCAAATATGTATCTAATATCGTTAGGAAAAGGATAGAAGACGAGCAGGCGTAACGGCCCATCACGTATTTGAGGGAGGTGAGGCGGTGCAGCCGCCGAAACCGTGCCTATGTTACAGGAAAAAAATTGCTCACCATGTATCTAATGGCAACATTTTGAACATCTTTATATTGATTGAAATATAATGATCATTCAAGATTTTTGTTATCCCATTCGCACAAAATACAGGGCGATAAAAACAACATTTTCTAGATATTTCATTTACGAATTTTATAGAAGCAATTACCAAAGATCGGCGCCTCCCTTATTTAGGGGCATTTGGTCACTATTTAATTATGTTAAATTTACCCACGTGGTACATTTCTTTTATTGCGGCAATGAGTTTTCTAATACGGTCGTTTTGTTTAGGCTACCAAAGTCCTAATAATATAAGGGCAACATGCTTATTTTCGGGTCTTCGTTACCTGGCCATTAGAATTGGACTTATTCATTCTCACTGTGTGTATGTTTCGAAAACGATTTAAACAATTTCCGAGACAATTTCCGATTGGTTCAGGTGCGATATTTAGGTTCGATGGTTTCCAAAATAACTTCTACAATGAATTTTAAGTTCATTCTGTTATAGCCATTAGAAAGATGAAACACGAATCTGGAATGTAAAAAATGTCGAAGAAAAGATGCAAGAGCGCAGTATTATACTGCTCACCTGTTGACACCTGGTCCTTCTTATTCATATTTTAGAACATAAAAATTTCCATAAAACATTTAAGAAGACATAGAGATTCTTAATAGTGTTGCATGCCAATTAAAATTATGCGTGTTTTAAAATGTAGTAACTTTTACTTTATTGCATAGCCGCCCACAAAATATTAAGATGACATAGTTAGATAGTTACTCAGCTTATTATTTTAAATAGCATCCAATTATTTGGAGAGCAGAATGTGCAATTTTCAGTATGTGATCGCCATTTTAAACGATAGCGTGTGAAATTCATTCTACGATTACTACATCACAAAATACCTGTGACCGCAAAAAAATGCCAGCCCCTTTTTATACCAGCTCAATTTTGGTCTTTCGTTAAGATATGAAAAATAGTTCACAATCAGCCAATCTTTCTCACTTTTGCTGATAAATGGTGCACCGCAAGGATCCATTTGGTCTTATGCTATTCCTAATTTGTATAGGGTAGTGCCCAACTATTACGTTTTGCTGATTATAAGTACTGCCAAAAGATGGACCCGAATGTAAAAAGTAACAGAGATAACAGAGATGTATTATATTGAGTTTGACAAAAAAAATCATCATTCGAAGACTAAACACTCAGTTGCCACAAATTCATTCATAACTGCTTACTATGTCGTATTTAATATTCCAAATAAAGCAAAGTTAAATCTGGAAATACATTATTTAACCTTTTTTTGGGTTTAGTGACTAACGGCTAACTATATCAACATATCATGCAAGGAAAAATTGAAGTAATTTTTAGCCTTCACACTGCAGAGTATGCAGAGTGGGCGACGCCTAATTTAAAGAAGGTTCCTACTCTCAAGGCGGCAATGCGGGATGTCGAGATGTTGGGGGAGCTCACAGAAGATATGAAGGAACCTGCTACAGAAGTTGCTTGCGGAGAAACCGACCAAGTTTAACTGAACATTTTCAAGATAGTAAAAGCAATTCTAGAACTTAACCGTAAAAATTATTGCTAATTATACCCGCATCAGAATCGCCGTTTAAAACAGTTTTGTATTAATTCACCAATGAGTAGAAAATTTAAATAATTTTGACATTTCCTTTATATATTGCCAGTATTATCGACGCAGTTTGTGTGAAAAATGTTACCTACTCATCCACGCCAATAAGTTTTCATACTCTTTATAATAGGCTTTTGCGTTTGGATTTGGCAGGTAACATATTTTCTTGTGCTTCTGCAACAAGCCATTGAATGTACGGTCTTTTTCAACCGAAGTCCTTTTATTTACGAAAACGGCGATTCTTATAAGCAAACCTCAAGTGACAATTCCATGGAATTACGAATAACCAGCCCACTTAATCAAAAATTAATTCGAGTATAACGTCAGTCTGCTTTTATTACCCTTATTTTTAAATGATATTGCAGGCGTAATAAAAAATCCTATAACAAACGCGCAACGTTGCAAGTGCTTTAAGACATGATTATAAACTTGTTTTATTAATATATTATTATTTGTTTTACTTTAATGTTTAAATATTTCAATTTTTCAATTGTTTTCTCAACACTGTTTTTCGTTGTTATTTTCTTGAAAAATGACCTCTCAAAACTCAAAAGATGTATTGTGAAAACTATTTGGTCAACAAATACGTTTTTCGTATTATATTGTAGTAAATTAGATTAGATTAAATAATCGACTTTAAAAACGTAGCAAATAAAGGGTTTCGCCCGCCATTTAATATTTTAATTAAGCACAAATATTAGTGGCTGCGTAATATCTCAAAAGATGCGCTTTATTCGAAAATCAACAACCCAAAAATAGCGTTGTTTCGTTTTTAATGCACCACTCTGTATAAAATGGCAACACTCTTTTCTAATGAAATGGATCTGGGTTGCATAATTTAGGTAAAACTTCTAAGCAATGTATACTTCCGTTTGTTCATTCGTGTGAGGAACAAGATCTCGGTACCGGAAAGTCGTTGATGTCTCGTTTTATAGACCCCCGTGATCCCGCACGTGAAATGTTACCCAAATTTTGGCAAAATGTTTCAGATTAGCACCAATTTCGTTAGTAAAATGGAAAAACACATTGACTTGATGCACAGGAATTAGATTTTATACTCTTCCTGTCATACTCCCTTTTTGGTTAATTTGGTAGAGCAAAATCTGCATTAATGATTTCGTATTGGAAACGGTAAAACGCATTGCCATGGTGCACAATGACTAACTTATGTGCTCCTCCCGTCTTGGTCAAATTTCGGGGAAACGCAGCAAAGCGGTGCCGCAATATGCAAGACACGTAGCTTGTTTAACTTGTTTTATATTGCTCAAAGCCTGCATTTGTTTTTACGCCAAAAGATTACAAGGTCTGACCTTTTGTTTATACTTTATAGTAATGAAATAAACAAACAAATCAACAGCACGTCAAATGCAAACTATTAATACTAAAAGTAAATTCCGGCAGATTGTTCCACACCATAAGTCAGTGTACTTTTTTGCATACCTACCTGATACTGTGACGTGTATGCAAATTTTATACCGATTTTGTTTACTTTTATGTCATTGTTTTTATTTAGTTCGTATGTTTATAAGTTACATTTTGTGTTGATGTCAGTTAAAGTAACCAATCAAATGAGCAACTGATGTGACGAGCTACTGTTTGTTTCACGTGAAAAGTAAGTTGTAAAATACAGGATCTCAACAGTCAAAAGCTGGTGAGTAATTCTCTCTTGTAGGATAATACACGCTGTAGTAAGCTAGAAGAGTAAACAGGAAGTAACGGTCGTTGACTTAGCGTACACATTTAAAAAAAGTTAAATCTGGAAGTTTATCTTTTCTTTTTATTTGTTGAACCCTGTGTGGGGGCGGGGAAAGAATATTTCCACTGTAGAGAGACGTTGGATGCAGTAAACGTCCACTAATCAATCCGCCGTTGCAACTTATGTAAAGGAGGTAGGTTTACCAGATTTGAAACATCGCAGGTTTGTTGTTTTTTTGTTTCTTATCAGCAGGAAGCCCTGTTGGAATAATTGGTGGAGGTGGATGCCTTGGATTTTTGAGCTAGCCGTCGGTACAATTGACATTTACAGAGCGCCCTTTCATACCTTGCACTGAGGACGCAATCGTGATGACATCTTAAACATAATACCGACGATACCTCTCATCCGCTCATGGTTAATGTGATCAGACATGTCGACAGTAATAGCAACAATATACAAATACGTACACCATTACTAATTGTAGCCCTTCTCAGTTCAAATTTTAAAGCTCACGATAATAGTACATTATATATCAAGGTAGAGAAGTCCACTATTATTGCCTGAGCACCAAGATTACATCTCGAGGCGCTTGCGCCGAGGGGTGTAAGGTGCGAAGGCAATAATAGACTTCTCTACCGTGGTATATATACTATTTTTTTCACTACTAGCACTTGAAATCCTCTAAATTAACATATTATATTGATAAGAGAGTTAACGGTTGGACAGAATTGTTTGTTTCTTAATTTAACATGTCAATCAAGTACGTGGAAGTACAAGTCAAACAGGCCGTATTTTGTTCTGTCATTGAGATTTTTCAAAGAGTAATTTCGTTCGAATTTTTTCAAAATGTGATAATTTTAGGTATGTAATTTCTCTGGAAATTGCGAATGGTGGCAATTATTCGTTTTAGAGAACTTGTCTAAACGTTCATTGAGCGAAATTTCGGGTTGTGTTTTCTAAAAGTGACAGCGTGACAGTTCTCATTATTGACTACTAGTTAATAATAAAAAATTATTAACCACTTTGAACAAATGCCGAGAAAGCCTACTTTACAAGTGGAAAAAAGGTTAATAATCATGTCATCAGACGCTAGTAGTGAAAAAAAGAATCTATTGGTATCAATCTGTTGGTGAAACAAGAAACAAGAAATTTGTACAAATTCTTTGGGACATTTTCAACGAAGAGCGTTATTGAACCGTCAAACATGTTAATCTTATGAACTGGTACCGGTACATACAGGGTGTTTTTTTGGGAGCTTTAGTTAAAAGTTTCTGGGAAAGTAAAATAGGTAGGTTTTTGAAAATTTGTACTTAGGAGTTACTCTGAAGGCCGAATCGATGTAAAATATATTTGAAATGGCCGCACTTCCGGAAACACCGGAAGTAGATAGTAACTTCGTTATTTTAAATGGCAACCCCTATTTTTTATTGCATTTTTGGATTCTACGTGAAATTTCACTTCTTTTGATACCCATATGTCGTATCTACCATTTATGGTTTTTAAGTTATTTTGACTTTAAGAAAAAAAATGGCGGATGCAGATGGTACCTTGATAATTGATTACTTGAAAACGGTTGTAGTCATGGCAACCTATTTTTATCAGTGCATAGAGAATGAATAGGGCTTTCTTTTAGTGCACTTAAAAAAAAGTTAAGTTGCGTACGACCGCCCCTATGGATATCCAAATTTATGAAACTTCAAAGACTAAAAACTCAGTTTTTTTTTAATGGAATGACCATGTTCTTACTATTCCATGAGATAGAGAATCGAAATGGGCATATTTTGACAATACATGTTCCTATAGCTATCTTTAACAGTTTCTGACTTATTCCCATTTTATTGAATTGACACTATTTTTTTAGGATTTTCTTTTTAGTAGTCGGCCATGATTCTATAACAATTGAATTTTAAACAAATCTAGTGACACTAATCCATCACCCACTGTTATAGGTTAACATAAGTTTTTCAAAAATCGAAAAATGACTCGCAGTGGTTTCACCTATTTTGGAATTTAATTGTTATTTATGGTGAAATGGGCAGAATCCTAATGCACTACAAACCGTTGAAGCAGAAGTGATACAAAGCTCTACAAGAGAATATTTAACAAAGTGAATTGAATTGCAAATGCAAGATTAACAAAATAAATTCAATGCAAAATATAAAAAACTTTGTTGAAACATTTTTGGTATGGAATTGTTGCTAGAACAGATATCGCATTACCTCTCTTAATTTCCAGACTTATACGTTGTTTAAGAAATTCAGTTGAACGACTCTGTTTAGATTTTTCAAAAATTTTCTGTCCTATATCCTATTAAATGAGTTATTTATTAATGAATTATTTAGACTAGAACTAGAATCAGTGGTATTAAAGAATCCATTCCTTGATTTGTTTAAAATTCGATTGTTATAAAATCATGGCCAACTACTAAAAAGAAAATGCGAAAAAAAATGGCATCAATTCCGAGATCAATCCAATGAAATGGAAATAAATCAGAAACTGTTAAAGATAGCTATAGGAACATGTAATATCAAAATATGCCAATTTCGATTCTCTATCTCATGCAATATTAAGAACAGGGTCATTCCATTTAAAAAAACTGAGTTTATAGACTTTGAAGTTTCTTAAATTTGGATCTCCATAGGTGCGGTTGTACGCAACTTAACTTTGTTTTAAGTACAGTAAAAGAAAGCCATATTCATTCTCTATGCAATGATAAAAATGGGTTGCCATGACTATAACCTTTTTCAAGTAATCAATTATCAAGGTACCATCTGCATCCGCCATTTTTTTTTCTTAAAGTCAAAATAACTTAAAAACCATAAATGGCAGATATGACATATGTGTATCAAAAGAACTGAAATTTCACGTAGAATCCAAAAATGCAATAAAAAATAGGGGTTGCCATTTAAAATAACGAAGTTACTATCTACTTCCGGTGTTTCCGGAAGTGCGGCCATTTTGAAAATATTTTACATCGATTCGGCCTTCAGAGTAACTCCTAAGTACAAATTTTCAAAATCCTACCTATTTTACTTTCCCAGAAACTTTTAACTAAAGCTCCCAAAAAAACACCCTGTATAGTTAAGTGGTCAAATCGAAAAACGACTCTGTTTCTTAGTTCTAACGGCATTTTATGAGCCATTTTGGCCACATGGTTTTTTAGATGTAAAAAAATATGCTGAACCCGATTCTGGATGTTGCCAGGCCGAATTTTGCACTAGTTCACAAATACAGCACGATGGCGCCACTATCTATTGTATTGTGTACTATTTAGTATTAAATTGTTTTCCATAATTTATTACTTAATATATACGTAAGAGTTGGTTAATTAACTTCATAGCTAGTTCGGAAAATGTAGGAAAATATATCATGTGGTGATATAGGTATAGGGTGTCCCAAAAAAGCTGTGAATTAATTAAATTAGCGTTTTACATTTTCCTCCACAAATTTTGTTTGTTATTAAATTTTGTGCTTTTTAATAATAAGTATTTAGGTTTTTTCCAACTATATATATAAATATATATATATAAAAATTGCGTATTTTTTCCAATGAATTCAAATCTGCAATTAAAAAAACAAAACTACATCGCATTTTTCAGATGATAAAAAAAATGTGACTTTGATATGGAACACCTTGTGTATTATTACATAATATGACAGGTTATTAAATTCTTTATAAAACACTATAGCAAAAATATTTTAAATAACCAACATTTTCAAATTATTGACGATCGCTTAGGACATAGAGAGTTTATAATTTTGCGGTGCCTGTCCATCTGTTCCGAGATCGGTTCATTAGCACGATACCTCGAAAACGAATGGACCGCCGATTATGATGAAATTTTGCATTTGGATAATAAAGAAGACCCTTTTGACATCTCCGTTAGTTATAAACCGAATTGCATGAAATTCAATATGGGCATAGGCGAGGGCATAGTTTTAGCCATATAATACGCAATGGCAAAAGTTGGGCCTAATCAATTCTACATTCACAGTGCCCTTTTTGAGTTGCAAACTTTTTTATTTATGAAAGTATTTAAATAAAATTTGATACATAAGCACTTGGAATAAAAGCAAATCTAACACCAGGTTCAAAATTTGGTTTTTCACATGCTATAGCCACTACCTATAGTAGTATCTCGAGTAGTATTAAATGGCATTAAATGTAAATTAATTACATTAACTTAGCATTAACCACATTAAATTACATTAACTGAATTAACTTGAAATTAACTGCATTTACAGAACATATTAACTACATTAAAAGTTAATTTAATTATTAACTACTATTTGCACACCGAATTAACTAGGTGGTTTACCCCTCGGTTCTCGCCGACACAGTGCAGCGGCGCCACTTGCTACACTCAAATTGTTTATTTACCGCCCGCCAAGATACAGACTTTATTTACAAAAAATATGATTTCATTTTTTGGGGTAATGTTCAGAAGTAACTTATCTAGAAAACTGTCGGTTTACTTTTTCCATAAATCGTCTTGATCGAGAGTAAAGCAATAAAACAGGTTAGCGCAATAATCGGTGCAAAATATCTAATCTTTAAACAGCCGGTATTCAGTTGCTATAAACTTTTTTAAAAAATAGTCCGAACATTTTGTAGATAAAGGTCTAAATTTATAAAATATAAAATTTATATATTATTAATATTAAATTTTATTTTTCAAAAACAGGGTACAGAAGGGCGTAGAGTTGCATCTTCTCATGATGCCGGGGACATTTTGTACCATACGTATTGTCTCGCAAATGCGATAAGGGACACTGAAAAATCGAATGGTCAGACTAGTCCTCCCAAAAACTTGGCTTTAAATAAATATAGCTATGAACTAAAAGTGCACAAATATCTACAAGAGTCTTGGCGACTGCTTCAATCGTAAAAAAAATGAGCAGAATGATGAAGAAATTTAAGTTCCGTTAAAATTTTTAAACGAAATATAGGTAATACATTTGCCGTCAGAATTATCTCTATATTGTTACCGTGTTGTCTGTGTAATGTACCCAATATATGTTTTGCAATTTTCTGTGCCTCCTGTATGTTTTTTAACACCTCAATCCGAAAAACTATGTAAAATGCGTCTGGCATAAAAATTTATATATTTGGCCGCCATTTTGAAATTAGCCAAAAATCAGCTTGGCAACATCCGAATTCGGGTTCAGCAGACATTTTTACCCTTATAAACGCACGTTTCCAAAATGGCTCATTAAATGCCGTTAGACTTGCGATTTATTAACTATGGCCACCCAACTAATAGGAGGCCAGAGCGGAATATCTACTGGGGAAGGGCTTTGGGGCACACCAGGTGGCGTAATTATTGAATATGAGTGGAGTTGCGTCATCTTTCGCCTTCTCGCGTGGCAGTACTAGTATTAGGTAGGTATGTTTATTAGGGTTTTACAAATGTTGATTTTACGTCATGGCAAAATTGCCGGACACATAGATCAGTTGCAAAAAATTTATTAATTTATATAAATTATGTATTAATCAAATGAATCACTTTGCATCTGATTTCTGAAAAGTGG